AGCCGAGGGGGGGCCGCCTGGGTCGCGGCGAAATCGCGCCTCTGAGCTGATCCGATTGGCGAGCGCCAGCGAGGAGTGCGGCCTACAGATGGCCAGCGTTCCTCGGTGTAAGGAGCTCCTCAGACAGTCTGCCGCTCGACGAGCCGCGGCCGTGGGCGTGCAGCGCGGGGGTGCCCCTCCCGAGAGTGCTTCGGATGGAGCCGCTCAGCGGGGCTCAGTTGGGTTCTGCCCCCGGGGCTCCAGGATCCGGGATGGCCGAGCCCAGGGGGGGGGGCTGTCCGGAGGCGCGGGCCCCTTCTCCTGCGACCGATTCTTTGCGCCGGGTGGCCCCCGCCTCTCTTGCCAGCGCCGTTCGCTCCCCCTCGATGCCGTGGCAGGGGGGGGGGTCCGAGGGAGGTTCCAATGGAGCTCGGGCTTGCTCCCAGAGGACGCGGGCCCCCTCGCGTGCCAACGAGGGGGTCGGACGCGGGCAGCTCGACGATGTCGCGCCAGCGCAACGGCGGGAGAGGAGGATCTCGGGCAGCGACGACCCTCCTCGCGATTGGCCCCGCCCGCCCGTTGCGGGGGCCCGGGGGCTGGGGCAGGGCCCCAGGCGGGGCTGCCGAGCTCTGTGTTCGCGGGGCGACGGGGCGACTGGCGCGGCCCAGCGACGTGGCCATGTGTATCGGGAGAGTTCGGGATTTCGAGATGAAGGGGGTCGTGCCGGGTCGCGTCCGCCAGAGGTCAAGCGCGCTAGAGTTGCCCCGCTTCCTGGTCTCGCTCCCGTGCCTGCCTCCCTGCCCCGGCCGGATTCGGATCCCGAGTCCAGCGCCTCTGGGCAGGTCATTGTGGGCAGCGAGGCCCGTTGCCGCGCGAGCGAAATGGCGGGGGGCATCGAGGTGGGGCGCGCCCGACGGGGCCGCTCTCCACCGAGTCCAGGTCACGTTGAGAAGCGCTCCTCGGGATCGAGGCTTGGGGCCCCCGAGGGATCCTTCTTCAAGGCGGTGGTTTTCTGGCCGGGCCCGCGAGGGGGGGGTGGGCAGCTAGGGTGGGCGGGGGTCGTTCTGCAAGACGGCGGCGCAATCGCCGCGAGTAGGAGGGGGGCATGTAAGTGTCGCGCGCCCCCCCCTTCATCTGAGCGGGCGGAGGTCTCGATTGCCGACGGCGCAGACTGGCGGGCCATGCCGCGTGGAAGTTCCAGCCTGCCCGCGTCACGTCGAATGAAATGGTCAGGCGGTGGGGGCCGGTGGAAGGAACGTTTCAGGAATTCGAGTCCACGTCGCGCTGTCGCGGGCGCGGGCGCAGGGGCGCTGGCTCAGGGTCTCTGGTGGTGTATGCCCCAATCCCCGAGAGGTTAAAAATCGTGCTCTCCCTTCAGATCACAATGGGCCTCAGTCCGTGGGCCGACATGACAGACGTTCAGAGCGCCGCCTGCCGAACCAGTCCCATTTCCCACCAGTCGAGATCTGCGTGGAACTGTGCAGGAGCATTGAGCTTCCCAGTGGGGCCCTGATGCGCTTGCGTGTCTACGTCTACGCATTAGGTGACGCGCCTATGGCGTGGTGGAATATGGTGGTCTCGTTTGTCGAGATGCACGGTTTCGCTGGGTCGCTGTTGGAGCCGTGCCGGTGGATGCGCCTCGTGTGCAGGGGAGGTTTTGAACGCGGTGCTCGGTCGACGACTTCTTCGTCGGGCCCCCGTCTCAGAAAACCCATAGCAACTCGATCCAGTTTGAGAAGTCTTGTGGGGAACCGCTGAAACCTGAGGAGGTCAAGGCCTTCTGGTCGCTTGTCTATGCGTTCGAGTCGGTGGGGCGGAGAACCGGGCCAGCGGCAGCTAGAGTTGCCGGTGTTTTGACCAGCCGATTGCGCGGCCCCGCGATTTTGGGCATTTTTTCGACGGCGAATTCGCGAGACGCCTCCGTTCATCCGCTTCTCGTGGCTCGAATGTCAGTCGCATCCTTTTCAGATGCTGCCAGGTTTGGCGCATTGTGGTGCGTGGGGAGACAGCGGTTGCCAGGCGACCCCGCCCAAGGTGCATGGATGGTTGTGGCGGTTGATTCCAGGGTGATAGATGCCCATTCAGTCAAGGCGTCGACTCTGGGATGGAATTTCCCGAAGCTAGGAGAAAGGGGCCCTCGACGTCTCTGCAGGTGAGACACAAGCCTGGTCAGCAGCAGTAGCAGAAGTAGAGTATGGTATAGAGATGTAGCCTTTCGTGGCGCAGCCGTGCGCGGTGACCATCTATGCTTAAGTCCTTTTACCATTGTCCTTCGGAGAAGGTGCTTTCTTAGCTCCAGGGAACAGCAGATGCACGTCGTTGATGCAACTTCTGCATCAAGCACCATGCAGAAAGAGGGGCATACTGCCAAGGCCAGAAGCGCGGCTAGTGATCTAGCCGCAGAGTGTGAGGCGCTCGAGCAGTCTCGTGGCAACATGTGCTGGATCCCTCGCAGTCGAATGCCGGTTGACGCTCTAGCAAATGACGACGCCACCAAGTTTAATGCAGCGTTTTTCGACCTGGTGGCCAGCGGACGGCTGATCTTTTTTTGAGGAAAGCGCTAAAGTGACGGAGCGGCTGGGGGATTCAAACCTTACAATCCGTTCCCAGCTGGCCTCCAGGAGATTACGGGATAGTGGCCAGATTGTGATCTCATGCAGAGAGCTCATGACTCAGAGCAACGACGCAGTCTTGTGGTGGTTGTCGGTCGGTCTCCCCTCAATCTCTCTCGGTTCTCTCTCTCTCTCTCTCTCCCTCGCTCTCCCTTTTTGTTTGTATATATATATCTATAAGACATATTCAGTAATGCGATTGCCATTCTAGCTTCATCCTTGTCCGTTATTGTACAGCTGTTCTGTCGTATAAGTTACTGCCTTGTCCAGTTCACTGCCATTCACCTTCACGGGTCATGGAGATAGCTAGGTCTTGGCAGGGCGACGACTCGCCATACAGCCCTGCATTCTGTTCTGTTGAAGTTGTTTCGTAAGGAGACACTTATATCTACAACAAGTGTTTGGGAATGCGGAAGGATGCTTGTTACCTAACACCGAAGATCGATAGGTTTTTAGTGGGCTCAAAAGAGAGCATCTTGACTCCCCAGAGGGGTCTGGGCGGGTGCTGGGAGAAGCCGGGGAACTCGGGGACTCCCCAGAACTTTATCCCAGGCCAAATTTTGATTGCCCAGAGCCAACAGAACACCATTCCCAGGCCACATTCTGAATGCCCGGAACCACTCTAAGCCAGTTCGGTTCTTCGTGTTCCCAGAACACCACTCCCAGGCCACATGCTGAATGCCCGGAGCCAAATGTAGGCCACTTCGTGGTCTTCGTCTTCCCAAAACACCATTCCCATGCCACATTTTGAATGCCCGGAGCCAAGTGTAGGCCACTTCGTGTTCTTCGTGTTCCCAGAACACCACCCCCAGGCCACATTTTGAATGCCCGGAGCCAACTGTAGGCCACTTCGTGTTCTTCGTGTTCCCAGAGCATTATTCCTGTACCATATTTTGATTGCCCGGAGCCATTTGTGGGCCACTTCGTGATCTTCGTGTTCCCAGAACACCAGTCCTGTGCCATATTTTGAATGCCCGAGCTGAGGCAGGCTGAGGCCGAGGCAGGCTGAGGCCGAGGCAGGCTGAGGCTGAGGCTGAGGCACGCCGAGGCAGGCTGAGGCTGAGGCTGAGGCAGGCTGAGGCTGAGGCAGGCTGAGGCTGAGGCTGAGGCTGAGGCCGAGGCTGAGGCTGAGGCTGGCTGAGGCAGGCTGAGGCTGAGGCTGAGGCAGGCTGAGGCTGAGGCTGAGGCTGAGGCTGATGCAGGCTGAGGCTGAGGCAGGCTGAGGCTGAGGCCGAGGCTGAGGCAGCTGAGGCTGAGGCTGAAGCAGGCTGAGGCTGAGGCTGAGGCAGGCTGAGGCTGAGGCTGAGGCTGGCAGGCTGATGCTGAGGCAGGCTGAGGCTGAGGCTGAGGCTGATGCAGGCTGAGGCTGAGGCAGGCTGAGGCTGAGGCCGAGGCTGAAGGCAGACTGAGGCTGAGGCTGAAGCAGGCTGAGGCTGAGGCCGAGGCAGGCTGAGGCTGAGGCTGAGGCAGGCTGAGGCTGAGGCTGCAGGCTGAGGCTGAGGCTGAGGCAGGCTGAGGCTGAGGCTGAGGCAGGCTGAGGCTGAGGCAGGCTGAGGCTGAGGCCGAGGCAGGCAGGCTGAGGCTGAGGCTGAGGCTGAGGCTGAGGCTGAGGCAGGCTGAGGCTGAGACAAGGTGAGTGGGGGGGGGGGAAGGGGGGGGGAGGAGGGGAGGTTGAGGCAGGCTGAGGCCGAGGCAGGCTGAGGCCGAGGCAGGCTGAGGCTGAGGCTGAGGCAAGCCGAGGCAGGCTGAGGCTGAGGCCGAGGCTGAGGCTGAGGCAGGCTGAGGCTGAGGCTGACGCAGGCTGAGGCCGAGGCAGGCTGAGGCTGAGGCTGAGGCAGGCTGAGGCTGAGGCCGAGGCAGGCTGAGGCTGAGGCTGAGGCAAGCCGAGGCAGGCTGAGGCTGAGGCTGAAACTGAGGCAGGCTGAGGCATCCGTAGGAATCCATAGGAATCCTTAGGAATCCCTAGGAATCCTTAGGAATCCGTAGGCATCCTTAGGAATCCGTGTGCATAGTTAAGCATCCTCAGGAATCCTTAGGAATCCTTAGGATTCCTCAGCAATCCTCTGGAATCCCAAGGAATCCATAGGAGTCAGGATTCCTTAGGATTCCTAAGGTTTCCTAAGGATTCCTATGGATTCCTAAGGATGCCTAAGGATGCCTTAGGAATTCCTAGGAATCCTTAGGATTCCATTGGATCCTAAGGCCGTTGCCACTGCGACTGTCATTGCGAATGCGACTGCGACTGCGAGAACAGCATAATTCTACAACTGGATTCTCACCTGAATCTTAAGGGGAATGCTTCCAGATATGCTTATACACATCGCTGTTAGGTTGCTTTGCCGGGATAAGGTTGTCACTAATTTGAGCATGTGTATGCGCACTCCGTTTCCATTATGGTTCAAATCCCAGACGCATCGGGGGGAACACATGCCGCATTGCTTGCCGAAACCCATGCCGAAAAATAGGTTTACGGCCATTCAAGATCCGTCTCGTGACCCTTCTGACAGTGACAGTACTTTGTCTTCCAGCGAGTCGGCGACCTCCTCCAGTGAGGCTTCCGTGTTGGTAGGAGGCTCACGTTGCAAAACACCAGTCCAATTATCCAGCCTCCAATTCCCTTACTAGTGAGGCGACGGTGCGTTCGAGCATCCCGCCCGACCCGCCCGTCAGTGTCCGCCTTCCGATCCGCCCAACGACGACGACGGTGGCGAGGCCGGGATGTCCAAACGCACTGGCGGCATTAGGGGGGAGGGACAGGGGAGGAGGTGGTGGTTGATGGGATTGGCTGGTTTGCAGCGATGGCCTCCCCGTTGGGGGCCCGAGCGCGCGGCGCATGAAGAAGGCCTTGGGCGTCGGCATCTGGCTGGCCAGCGCGGCAGCTTTCACGTGCGGGCTGCGAGCGGGCCAGTGCGGCCCAGTCGCGTTCGCTTTCGCGCTGGTGGCGGGCTTCCAGCTGCCGTCGCCGCTGGGCCAGCTGCCGCCGTGTCCAGACGCGCTCGTCTGCTACGTGTGGGCTGGCAGGGTGCCGCTGGGTGCTGCGAGCGCCGTTGCGGCTTTGCGCCTGTGGTGGTCCGCGGCGCGGGCCGGAGCCGCGTACGCCTCGTCGTGCCATTGGTGGTGGTTGCTCACGTCTGCTGCGATCGTCGCAGGAGAAGTCGGCACAAACAGAAACTCTCGGCAGGAAAGATGGCGCCTCCGGCGTCGCTCCACGGCGCGCTCCGCGCGCCAGAATAGTGGGGGGGTCCAGCGCCGGCCCGAGAAATATTCTCGCGGGCCTCCGAGAGTTTGTTTGAGGCTGATGTTACTTCACCTGCACTTGGAGGATTCCGAAGATTGGTGACGCAGAGGGCTTCATGATCATGGAGATCTGGCGGACGCAAGTCGGTGTGACATCAACTTTTCCTCTGTCAGGGACGTCTACCCCAGGGCGTCTGGAAATATCTTCCAGACGCTTCGGCTAACCCCACCAGCCCATCCAGAAACGATGCCAAGCCGAGTTGCACTGATCAGGGATGTGGTGGTGCATGCAGTGGAATAAAGGGCTGAGTAAACCGTCATACCTCAGAGACTCAAGAGGGCGAGGACGGATGAGGATTCGGAGGAGAAGGATAAGGAGGAAAAGGAGGAGGAGGATGAGGAGGAAGATGAGGAGGGTGAGGGTGCAGAGCAGGAGTCAGGGATGATGATGATGATGATGATGATGAGGAGGAGGAGGAGGAGGAGGAGGAGGAACAGGCGGATAAGGACGAGGAGGAGGAGGAGGAGGAGGAGGAGGAGGAGGAGGAGGAGGAGGAGGAGGGAGGAGGAGGAGGAGGAGGAGGAGGAGGAGGAGGAGGAGGAGGGAGGAGGAGGAGGAGGAGGAGGAGGAGGAGGAGGAGGAGGAGGAGGAGGAGGAGGAGAGGGAGGAGGAGGAGGAGGAGGAGGAGGAGGAGGAGGAGGAGGAGGGAGGAGGAGGAGGAGGAGGAGGAGGAGGAGGAGGAGGAGGAGGAGGAGGAGGGAGGAGGAGGAGGAGGAGGAGGAGGAGGAGGAGGAGGAGGAGGAGGAGGAGGAGGAGGAGGAGGATGAGGAGGACCAGGAGGAGGGCGAGCAGAAGCGCTAGAGGCCGCTTGGATGCCTCTCGGATTCTCTTCGGATGTCTCATGAGGGCCCATCGGGGTTCTCTTCGGGCGTCTCGGGGCTCTTGGCGGTCACGGGCAGGGGGAGTTCCGGGGACCTCGTGGAGCGTCTTGGGTGCTTTCGGGGGAGCCTCTTGGGGCCTTTTGGGGGTCTTTTGGTGATCTCTTGGGAGCGTCTTGGTGACCTTTTTCGGGGCTCCGAGGGCCTTCTGGGCTCCTCTTGGGGCCCTCTTGGGGCACTCTGGGGAGCCTTGGGGGCCATCTTGGGGCCATCTTGGAGGAGTTCGATCAAAGACGGGCAGGTCCCCAATTAGCCTCGCCTCTCCAGAGCGCCTAAGCTCGACTCTTGGACCCCTCTTAGGGCGCTCTTGGGGTGCTCTCGGGCTTTCTTGGAGCCGTCTTGGGGCTCTCTTGGGCATCTCATGGGGCTCTCTTGGGCTGCCTTGGAGCCATCTTGAAGCCTCGAGGGGCCATCAGAAGCGAAAGGGTGAGAAGGCACACATCATTCATGTACCTAAGGTTTTGCAGTATTTCTGCCTCTTGGGGACCGCCTTGGGGAACTCCGTCGCCTCTCGGGACCGTCTTGTAGCAGTCTTAGGGCCTCGTAGAGTATGTTGTAAGCCATCTTGAGCCATCTTGCTCGGAGGTCATCTTGGGCTTCCCGAGGCCCTTTTGGAGCCATTTTTGGCCATCTTGGACGCTCTAACCCCTCGCCGCTCCCCCAGACCCAGGGGAAGGGGGTAGGGGGAAGGGTCTAGCTCACTCCCACTGGCCCTCCCAACACATGAGTAACACCCGAGCCTGAGCACGTTCAGCGGTCGTCTTTGGATGGACAGCTACTGGGAGCCAAAACCGACTCCATGTGCGCGACGCTGGGGCGAGGTGCGCCACGCGTGCCAGGCGCGCCACGCGCGCCAGGCACCCTTGGGGCCCGAGGGTGCCAGGCACGGCTGGCGCGCCAGATGCGCCACGTGCTCCGCGTGCGCCAGGTGTACCGCATACTCCAGCCGCGCCAGGTGCGCCACGTTCGGGGCACGTGCAGAGTGCGTCAGGTGCGCCTGCGCACGTGACAGCACACATCGGGAAACATGTCGGCCCCCACCATTCTTGTCGAAAACCAATGCCCATCATTGTGTCTGGTGGGCCTGCGCACAGCAGGCCATACGACACCACCCCCGCCGTCCGTGTCAAAAACCATTTGACAGTGATCGCGGGGTGGCCGCGCATGATCCAGATTTAGCCGCGAGGTGTATTTTGTATTGTTTTCAGTTAAGGATGGTAGCCCTGCGCACAGCAGGCGATATGCTGACACCCCCGCCGTCCCTGTCAAAAACAATACAAAGTTCTCGCGGGCCTCGCGAACATGAATCAAGAATTGGACAGGGATGGTGTGGGGGGGTGAGCATGGTTCCTGCTTGGCCGCCAGTCGCCTGGGGAAGGGGGTGTATATTCATAGGGAAGAGGGATCAAGCTACCCCAAGCCGCAAGCCGTGTCGCTCACTCCCGCCCACACTCACACTACGTAAGTAGCCCCCGAGTCTCAGCAAAGGCAGGGCCTGCCGACAGTATCACTGCAGACGACAGCAATGTGCGCGATGCCCGCGAGGTGCGCCGCACGTGCCAGTGTGCCACGCGCACCAGGTGCGCCACATTGGGCAATCTGTCGACTGCCCCACAATCTCTGTCAAAAACCACCGCAACATGACGGCGGGTTTGCGAGCATTTTTTTTTTGTGTGTGTGTGTGTGTGTTTGTGTGTGTGGGCGTGCACCCGCGATCTTTTTGCTTTTTTGGGGGCAGGGGTAGAAGGCCTGGACGCAGCAGTCAGTATGTCGCCCCACCCGCTGTCCCTGGCAAAGTGAAAGTTGTATCTTTCGTTGATAGGGATGGCGGGCCTCCGCACAGCAGGCAATATGCCCGCACCCCCGCCGTCCTGGTCAAAAGCCAATTCAAAGTGATCGCGGGGCGTCCGCGCATGATCCAGATTTTGGTACCAAGTGCACTTCGTATTGTTTTTTTTGCAAGGGATGGTTCGAGGGCGTTGGCACTGCACGCAGCATGCAATCTGCCGGCACCTCCACAGTCCCTGCCGAAAACCAATTCAAGGTGATCGCGGGGCGTCCGCGTATGATCCAGATTTGGGTGCAGTTTGCATTGTGTAGTGTTTTTTTGTTGCAAGGGCTAGTGGGAGTGTTGGCATTGCAAACAGCAGGCAATATGCCTGCACCCCCAACGTCCCTCTCAAGCGCCAAAGCAAAGTGATCGCGTGGCCTCCGCTCACGATCCAGATTTAGGTGCAGAGTGCATTTTGTAGAATTTTTTGAAATGGATGGTGGGGTGTGTTGTCATGGTTCTGGGTTTGTCGCTGGTCGAATGGGGGACGGAGTGTATACTCATGAGGAACAGTGATGACCCCCCCCCCGAAGGGGAAGAGGGAAGGTGGAAGAGGAAGCTCGCTACAACACCTCCGCCCAGAGGGCCAGTGGGATCACATCCCACTTCGTCCGCTGAGAGATGCGGGGCCAGCCCAGCCCTCTGTGCCTCTGCTTCTCTTCGAAGCCCTCCACGCCGTGCTGTCTCTGATCTGGAAGGGGCGGGGGGACGCACGGGCGGTGCGGCGCGCCTTCGGCGACCTCGGCGGCTCTGCCCCTCGCAGACCGGCCCGGCCGATCTTGGGATGGGTGCACCCGTACCTCTATTTTCCGGCGGCGCTCCCGGGGCGGAAGTCACAGGTGGGGCGGGTCTTCTTAGAAGGCTCAGGAGGCGTCCGACCTTCGAAGACGCTTTCCTTGGGCCTTCCATGGAGCCGATGGGCGCTTCTCAGATGGCTGGATGGCTTCTGATAAGACCCCCGCTGTGCCCCCTCTCGCTTCTTTTCTCGGCGCGCCGCTGGTATTTCGAGGAAGAGGTAACAGCACAATCATAAACTTTTCAGAGTTCCGCGCGGATTTCCTGGATCGGCGCTGAACCCCCGTGCCCGACTCGCGGAGCGCGCCTGGGGCGGCGTCGGAGACCCTGCCAGGGGGACTCCAGCGCCGATCTAAGAGATCCGCGCGGACATTCGAGCGTTTACGCTTGTGCCGTTTCTTGTTCCTCTGCTGTCGCCTCTTCGACAGTTTCCCAGAGGTTCGCGTGGAGAGGGTCGCGGGGAAGACCCCCTCTTTCAGCCGGGTGTTGTCAGAGGTGTCCCTGGCCCAAGGTGTCCCCAGGATCTCCACGGAGGCCTCCAGAGTACCCCCATCGAGGCCCAGAGGGCTCCATGGGGCTCCAAAGCGGAGCGAAAGGCCAGGGGGCACCCTGGGCCAGGGCCACTCCTGGGAGCACCCGACCCATCGACGTCTGGCTGCCCCAGCGCTGCTGTGACCGCGAGGGCGCCCGCCGCCCGATCCTCTTCTGGGTCCACGGCGGCGCCTGGGTCGGCGGGCACGCCCGCTTCCTCCCGGCCGCCCCGCTGCTGCAGGCGCTGGCGGCGCGAGGATATCGGCGACCGACGTTCGACCCTCTGGCCGCCACGGGCAGGGCCCGCTTCGATCCGATCGATGCGATCCGATAGCGATTTTTGGCTTGCCCGATCTGATCCGGTTCCGATGGTCCGGCGATCCAAATCGTCCCGATGCCAGGGGAGCTCCTGTGCAGTTTGGCGTGGCCGATCCGATCCGAGTCCGAGCCTGTGCCGATGCGGCCCGGTTCGACGCACGTTCCGATCCGATCCGACTTCCGATCGATGCTGACCGCTCCTGACACCCCGATCCCCAAGATTGGCATCACCCTCTCTCGGTGCCGATCTTAAGGCGTTCACTGAGCTGAGGACATAGCCCTCAGCTTGTAATCGTCTTGGGCTTGTCAACTCTAGGGTTGTTCCCTACCTAGGCTCTGCCTAGAGGGTTCTTACTTTGTTTGCTTAAAGGGGCCGGGCGGTGTAAAACGCCCCAGGCGGTTCCCCCAGTCCCGACCCCGCGGTTCCCCCAGTGACGTCCCCTTAGCTTAGCGTTGCTTATCTCATCTTAGCTTAGCTTATTTCATCTTAGCTCAGCTTAGCTTAGCTTAGCTTATCTCATATTAGCTTAGCTTAGCTTAGCTCAGCTTAGCTCAGCTTAGCTTAGCTTAGCTTATCTCATCTTAGCTTAGCTTAGCGTAGCTTAGCTTAGCTTAGCTTGGCTTGACTTAGCTTAGCTTAGCTTAGCTTAGCCTAGCCTAACTTAACTTAGCTTAGCTTAGCATAGCTTAGCTTACCTTAGCTTAGCTTAGCGCAGCTTAACTTAGCGCAGCGCAGCATTAGCACAGCATATCATGGAATAAGCAAGCATATCATAGCATATCATATCATAGCTCAGCATATCATAGCACATCATATCATATCATAGCATAACATATCATAACACATCACATCATAGCATTGCTTAGCATAACATATCGCAGCATCTCATAACGTAGCATAGCACGTCATAACATATCGTATCATATCATAACATATCATAGCATAACATAGCGCAGCACATCATAGCATAGCACAGCATATAATAGCATACCATATCATAGCATAGCATAACATAGCGTAGCATAGCATAGCATAGCAAGGCAAACACAAAGGCAATAGCAATCACAAAGGCAATGTAACGCAACAGCAACACCAATGCGAAATTGTATATGCAGATGTAGAGGTAGGTGTAGGTGTAGATGTGGATGTAGGTGTAGATGTAGATGCAGATGTAGGTTTAGAGGTAGGTGTAGATGTAGATGTATATTTGAGTCTCGCGGTTGATGTTGATGTAGATGTAGATGCAGGTGTAGATGTAAATGTAGCTATCGGTGTAGATGTAGATGTTGCTTTCCTAAATGCTCCAACTCCTAGGTAGGGTCGCACTGGGATAATTGATAATCTCTCGCAGGGGGGTAGGGCGTAAGCAAAAAGCTTACACTTCAGAGGCCATATTCTGACCCATGCCCACGCTCCACCCCCTCGCAGAGTTTTGGGGTCAGCAGGGGCATGCGTGAAACCCGGATCCCCGACGTCGCGACATCGCGACAATTCGTCCGTCCTGTCTGTCATGGCCACGACACGATGGGGCCTGCGAGCGTCGATCGCCTGAGGATGGCTGGTGGTCAGCTGCGAGTACAGGAGGGGTGCGTGGCCCCAGCAGCTGGAGGACTGCGCCGAGGCGCTCCGCTACACCCGCACGGTGCTTGCCGACGAGCACGGCGGTGACCTGGACGCCCTCGCCATCGGCGGGGCCTCGGCGGGGGGGCACATCGCCAGCCTGCTGACGCTTCAGGCCTCAAGGGGCAACGTTCGGGGGGGGACAGTGGCTCCGCGGGGGGGAGGGGGAGGAGGGTCTTGACTGTTCTCGGTGGCTCTCGAGAGTCTCCGGCATTCAGGGTGGCCTCCATCAGCTGCGCCTCGTCGAGAGCGTTCCAAGGGTGCCAGGGTGGTCCCCAGCGGTCGTTTGGGGAGCCGAGTTACGACTTTGGAGACCAAGGGGCAACGATAGGGGGGGATAGGCTGAGGGGGGGGAGCGCATCGATCCCCCATCGCCCATTCATCGCCGACAGAGGCCTGACAGCCCGCCCCGCCCCGGAACGTGCGGACTTGCTGCCGAGGGCCTAGCGCCGATCTACCGGCGATGCACCGCCGATTCGAGCTCGATGCGCCCCCCCCCCCTGAGCTGGCCCCCCCCCTGTCGTTGCCCCCCGAGGCCGTGGAGGAGGGCGCGTGCCCGGTGCGGTCCAGCCTGCTCTTCTACCCCGCGCTGGACCCGAAGGACTCGGGCGGCGTGACGCTGCACAGCCCCCTCGGCCTGCCACGCCCCCTCGGGCTGCGCCGCGGGCAGAGCCTCCTCGCCTGGTTCTTCGAGCGGGTCGTGCTGAGGGGCGACGCGTCCAGGCGAGCGACGCAGAAGAAGACGCGAGGCTGGTGCACCCTCTCGATTCCGTCCTTCGCGTCGACTAGCGTCGATTAGCGCCTGTGAGTCGATGAGATGGCGCCGATTTCAGCGTCGATCAGCGTCGACTAGCGTCGATTTAGCGTCGATTAGCGTCGATGGAGTGTCGATTTGCGTCGATACGCAAGAGCCGACAAGATGCTATGGGAGGCTCCCATGACTTGTCACCGAAGGGGTCGTCCTCATCGACGCTTGCGCGTAAGCTGCCCGCGCAAGGTCGCGCGTGGGCGCCTTTGCCTCCCATGCGGCGCGCCGCGCTGGCGGCCCGCGTGAGCCGCGGCGTGCGGCCGCTGGCGCCTTCTCGCAGAGGGCTGAGGGAACTGCGTGCTTCTGAAGTCGGATCCGGCTGCGTGGTCTTTGAGCCGGATCTGGCTTCAAAAACACGCAGTGCTTCACCGCCCACCAAACCACCCCAACCCAACCCGAAGGCCCCGATTTGCCCTCCGTTTCCAGTGGGGGGGGTGTCGGGGAACACTGCAAAAACACGTATGAAGCCGTACCCCCCCCCCCCCCGAACCCGCAATTCGGGTCTTCGGGTCGGGTCGGCAGCCGGTCCTCTCCGCTCCTCCTCGCCGCCCAGGTGGCCCTCGGCGGAGCCCCTCGCCCGGCTGGAGGGCGCCTCGGCCGCCCGGGCGGCGCGGGCCAGCGGCGCCCCCGCGGCGCTCCCGCGCACGCTGGTCGTCCACGGCACGCACGACTCCGTCTCGGGTGCTGCCCAGAAGTGGCCCAGCCCCGCGCAGGAGGGGGGGGAAGAGGGGGGAGGGGGGGAGGGCTTCTCAGAAGCACCCCTGCTCCTTAGAAGGCGCGGGCCGGATCCATAGATGTAAGGCGGCGGCCAGCGCCTTCTAAGAAGCAGCCTCCTTCTAAGAAGCCCTCCCCCCCTCCCTCCACGCCCTTGTGCGCACCGCCAGGTAGCCCTGGCCTGGGGTGCCCCCGGCAGGGCCCGTTCCGATCCGACCGGTCCAAGTCGATGCCGATTCTGGCCAGCTCGATCCGATTCGGGGCCCTCTTTTCGGACGATCCGACGCGGCCCGATGCCTGCAGGGCACGGTTGTGCATGCTGGCGCAGCCGATCCGGCTCGATGTCGACTCCGTGCCGATGCAGCCCGATCCGATGTCCCGATTCGAGTCTGGCCGATCTTGCCCTGGCCTTGCGCTCCATCTTGTAGCCCCTGGAGCCCCCCGGGCCTCGCTAGAGGTGCTCGGGAGGCCGTGGGGCCTCCTGGGGTCACCCTGGGCCACTCCCCTGCGACCCGACGTTGCGAACAAAACTGCAGCACCGCGACGACTTACGGCCGGAGCCCTCGACCTGGACCGCCCTGCGGCCTTTTTTTTCCGAGCCAGACCGACCTGTGACAGGCACGGGGCCCGAACCGGGGCGGAAGCGCCTGGTGCGAAACGGCTGCAACGCCCAGGTGTCCGGGAGGGACACCTTCTGGGCAGGACCCGAGTCCGTCGTCCCCGTCGAGCACAGCCGCCAGTGGGTGGAGGCGCTGGAGCGCCGCGGCGGCGGGTGCGCGGAGGATTCGGCCGAGCGCCAGCACCAGCTTGTGGAGGTCCCCGGCGCCCGGCACACGTTCGAGGTCGCCCCAGGGGCGGCCGTCGAGGCGGCCTTCGACGGCGCCCTGGCGTGGCTCGAGCAGCCCCTCGACAAAAGGCAGAGGTCCGCGGACGACTCGTGTGCGTTGTGTTGTTCGGCTGCTGCTTGAGGCGTCGTCGAACCTCGGCCCAGCATGGTGCGGTGCAAAGTGTTTCGGCCCGCAGGGCCGAAAAGCCGTGCACCGTGCCTCGTTCGAGCGGGGCCCGACGGGAGTCCAAACATGGTGCGGTGCATGGGCGCCGTTCTCGTAACAGGAGGCAGAGGTACCGACATCGCTGCTCGTCCTGGAGAGCTCTCGTCGTCACGGCTGCGTTCTCGAAAGTCTGGTCGGGACGCACCGTGGGAGAGGTCCAGGGAGCCGCGGTATCGTTTGTTGTTGCCCCCCAGGACAAGGCCGGGCTCCCGCTCCGCGGAGCTGCGGGCCCAGGCGGCCGACGCCGTGATCTTTTCTAGTCCTGGCGGGTTCCCTCGAGTTTTGCGGCTCCTGGGGGCCGTGCTGTCGTGCTCTGGCACTGGAGGAGGAGGAGGAGGAGGAGGAGGAGGAGGAGGAGGAGGAGGAGGAGGAGGAGGAGGAGGAGGAGGAGGAGGAGGAGGAGGAGGAGGAGGAGGAGGAGGAGGAGGAGGAGGTCAGAACTGGATCTGGGGCGACCGCTCCTGGGGAATGGTCGAGACCTCTTGGGTCCGCAGACAGAGAAGGTCAGTCCGTCGGAGGTCTGGCAGGCCGCGCGCCATCCACCAGTCCCGCTCGTGCCATCCTGGGCCCTGGGTGGGCCGGTGGAGGTGTGTAGTTTCTGGTCTCCTTCTGCCCTTCCGCCACCCTTCCCCTTCTCTCTTGCCTCTCCTCATCTGCAGGCGACGCGAAATCGCGACGGCCGTTTGTATGCTTTCTCTGCAGTTGTAGTGCTCGGCCTCTGTTGCCAGCTCCAGGACCGTCAAAACTTCGATTCATGATGACCATTCGACCCTGGGGAAGTGGTCGAAGCCCCATCGGGCCGACGCGACAAAGATGCAACGCTGGAGTAGAGGGCTTTTGTCCTCCACCCCTCTCCACCTCGACGCTCCCCGTCATCTGCTCCTCCTGCGGTCGCCCTCGTGCATGGTGGGGTTGACAGGCTGGAGAATGAAATGGAGGGCCATAATAATCCCAAGATGCTGTGAAGAGTGCACTCCCCTGCCCCTCTGCCGCCCGTGCCACCGTGTGTGTATGATGTACACGCTTGTCTTGTTTTGTTGGCATGCACGCTGCCCGCCGCTGTTTTGGCCCTAGTCCTAGGGCCCTGGGACGCACCCGCAGTTTTGACTGCCGCGCAGTCCGAGCTAAAAGAACTGCACTGACATTGGTAGCGGAGCTTGTAAGCTCCAGCGGACGCACTGCGTGCTCTGCTTTGGTGGTCGTGACCACCTGCGTGGGCCGCCATGGCAGCTAGCCAAGACGGCTCAGACGCGGAGGCTGCGTCCTCTGCCGGCACAGGTCCCCCGGACCTGCATGCGGTCCTGCGCGTGATGGCCGAGACCCAGCGGGAGCTCTTGGCCTTGCATCGGGATCGTGGTGGCGACGGCGGTCCCAGACGTGCACGTCTACTGCTGTCGCAGGTGAAGCTCCCAGAGTTCGATGGTGCAGTCGGTACGAGTACTAAGAAGTACCGAGAGTGGCGCAAGGAGGTTGAAGTCATCCGCAACCTCAACCAGCTCTCAGATGTGGAGCTGGGCCTGATCATCTACAGTCAAGTGACAGGTCGAGCCAAAGAGCTCATCGAGGTGCTTGATGCGTCGGACCTCCGACGCGAGGACACGCTCGAGACCATCTTTGCTATCTACGACGACGCCTTCGAGAAGATGGATCACGAACGCCTCGATCAGGTGCATCAGGAGTGGGAGCGAGCACACCGTCGAGCTGGGCAGCCCATCATGGATTGGACAACGTACTTGCGCAAGAAGCGCATGGAGTTGCAGCTCGAGGATCCTACTTCAGCGATCAGCGATCGCGCGCTGGCGAGCAAGATGCTTCGTGGCGCTGGACTGTTGCAGAAGGAGCGAGCGCAGGTGCTCTTCAACTGTGGCGGCATCTACGACTCGAAGCGGATGGAGGTCGTGCTGAAGGCAGTCTACTCGAAGGTGCACGACACTGAGAAGCGCTCGGTGTTCCCTCGCCGCTCGCCGTTTGTGGCGCAGCGTGAGCACGGGCGCTCCTCTGGGAGCTCGGGCGGTCGCTATCCGCACCCTCCCATGGCTCGCAGGCCATATGTGTTGCGAGGGCGCTCTGGCCAGCACGTGCACGAGGTAGAGAACGGCGAAGACTACGATGAACACCACGGCGACCTGGAGGAGGCGCAACACGACGAAGATGAAGCAGATGAACAGGACGACGGAGACCCCGGAGCTGGCGAGGGGATCATCTTCGAGGAAGGCGCCGAGGTCGAAGAGGAGCTGGCGTCGGACAGCGACGGGCCGGAGGACGAGGAGTATGAGGCACCGGAGGACCTTCAGGAAGCGTTCTTGGCCGGCTGGAGGGCCAAGCAGAAGACGGCGGTACAGCGTCAGAAGCGCGGGTTCGTTGCCCCTCGGCAGCGGAAGCCGACGGACCAGCGCAAGGCTAACAGCCGGTGTGCTGACTGCGATCAGCCCGGCCACTGGCGTGGCGACCCGGAGTGCCCCAAGGTGAAGAGTGGCGAGCGCGAGCCGTACAACAAGATCGGGCCTAAGAGTGGCCAGCCAGCGTCGCCCAACCAGCGGAGCTCTGTGAAGCCGCCGGCGCCAAGGCAGGTGCATGGACCGATCATCCACTGGGTTGGCATGGCAGGTAGTGCCGAGGAGCGTCGTGGCCGCGCTCCATGGCGCCGTGCTCCACAGTCGGTGCCTGCCCAGAGGCATCCGGTGGAGGGTCGAGCTGGTGCTCCAGAACGGATCATCATGAATCCCAGGCCCAAGAGCATGCCTGCGCCGAGCCTACGCCGGGACGCCGACGATGGCCCAGGGCCCGCACAGAGCAGTGATGAACGTGCGCGCGCCCGTGCCAGGCGCGGGGAGGATCAGGAGGACGAGGATGCATGCGTGCGTTGCCATCGCATTCTGGCCAACACCCACCCAAAGGGGCACAGCGTGGAGTTGGAGTTTCCTGACCTTGCCACGGTCCATCACATCGTGGAGCGCGTGACGAACAAGAAGCCTATCTTCTTCAAGCAAGGCCGCTTCGAGAGCCTCGACTTCGTCCAGGGTCGGCTTGTGCGTTTGCAGCTGACCACGTCGAGGCCTTGTACGGCGGCTGAGGTGGATCTCGACGAGATCATGGCAACTATGTTCAAGATCGTGATGGGTGGCAATCGTGATACCAAGCCCCGTGGCGATCGGCGCGGTGAAGGCGGGAGTCGTGACGCCAAGCAGCGTGAAGATCAGCGTCGAGATCGTCGTGGCGACCGCCAGCGTGATCGGGGAGCTGTTCTCCGTGAGCATCGTGCCCCTCCTCCGCCCGAGGCGGAGGCCTCCCCGCGTTCAAGGCCGCGGAGTGCACCAGAAGGCCGCGGTGTGAAGGAAGAGAAGCGGAGTCCACCAGAAGACCGCGGTGAGAAGGAAGAGAAGGAAGAAAAGAAAGAGAAGAAGAAGAAGGCGAGGAGCAGCAAAGAAGAGAAGAAAGAGAGAAAGAAGGCAAGAAACAGCAAGGAAGTGAAGAAGGAGGATGAGGCCAGCGAGGAGGATGAGGCCAGCGAGGACGACAACGATCAGCGGCGTGAGGATAAGGAGGTGCCGTTCACGCCAGAGGAGATGGACGAGATCTTCTGCAGCTGGTATCCGCGTCAGGACATCTTTAGGGATTACCTGACGCCGCCGGCAACCGTCCACTTCATCGCTAAGAACGACCGCATCGTGCGCCTCAATCTCTACACGCGCCGCTGCGAGAAGCCGGACTTCTCTCTAGCCAGCGGCCCTGCGAGGGCCCATCCTGTATACGTGGTGGATACCGCAGCGGCGGCGTCGGGGAAGGGAGCATCGAAGACTAAAGGATCCCCAGACGGAGCTGTGCCTGGACTAACGTCTGCCGCTCCGACTGGGGAGGCCGCCGCTGTTCCTAAGGACGAGGACTGGGTCATGGCAGGAGCCTCTGAGGAAGTGAGGAAGAGCGAGGAAAAGAAGCGACTAGAGGTCTTGCAGCGTGACAAGGCTGAGTTGCTGGATCGCCTCGTGCTGATAGAGAAACAGGAGATGGAGATGCACGCCCGATTGAACCCAGGCGAGGTCTACGACGGCCTGCAGAAGCGACGTGGGCATGCACCTCTGCCAGAGCGTGTCCTGCCTACATCTCCTGAGCAGCAGGGAGTCGGAAGCGTGTGGAAGAACATGGAGGGAATACGACGACGTGTCCATCTTCCAGCGCCTCCAGGAGCCGCGAGCTCAGGTGCCCCTGCCGCTGCGACGGCATCTCCAGCTGCATCTGGAGTCCCGCGTGTAGTCACCGCCTCTGGACGGAGCTGCGTCATGAGTGTCGGTGCCACGCAGAGCGACCTGGAGAAGCAGCAGATGCACCGAGCCATGTACGACTCGCAGTTCGACGGCGAGAGGCTGGTCCCAGGTCCGAAGGCGAAGTTCGACCCAGAGCTCATGCAGCAGCAGGCTGCGTGTGTTCATCCTGTGGGCGAGTTGAAGTGGCAGTCAAACGGCGCCGTGATCTTCGCGAAGTGCAAGAAGTGTTCGTTGAAGTCGGTGATCCATTACACGCTGGAGAAGCCCAAGACGGATGAAGGGGGACCTTCCAGGAACACCCCAGACGGAGCTGTGCCAGGACTAACGTCTGCCGCTCCGACTGGGGAGGACGTTGCCGTCAAAAAGGGCGCGGACCCCTGGGCAGCAAAGGGCGCAGACCCTTGGGCAGCATAGGGGGGATCTGCGGCCCACATGGTCACTACCCGAGAGGAGTGCCCCCGCAAGGTGGTAGATGAGCAGTCCGTCATGCTTGTTGTCTTGCCCGCGGGGTTGGCTATGATTGACACGGGCTGCAAGCGGGCTGTCGGTGGACGTCCGTGGCACGTCGAGCTGCGGAAGACCTTGGATGCCATGGGCGTGCCGTGCCACAGCATCAACCAGCGCGAGTGCTTCAAGTTCGGCCCAGGCGTGCCG